TCCAGTTGTTATTTTTGTAATTCAAAGACACCAGTCACATAGGACTGGATTGCAGCTGTTGTATCTTGTTTACTCAGGGCTTCATAGAAGGGCCTTCCAATAATTTTACTAAAAACCACCTGAACATTACCCACAATTAGCCCAACATTGTTCAACATTGATCAAAAACCTCTTTATAGCTGGATTACATGGACAGTATATGTCAAAAATACTTAACTAGCGTGATTATTTCAATTCCCCTGTATGACTAAGAGAAAAATCATGTTTAGATGATTATTTCAAATCTGTCATGTTAGATATAAAGTCTCACTCACATCTGTGTCAGAAAAGATCATGTTATAAGACAAGGTGCATCATCAGTGTAGCTGAGATGTATTTATTCACAAAATCGCTTCCAGTTGGCAGTTACGCTGGAAGTCTTTTCAGCATAGGAGCCCCCACTCTTAACTCTTGTTGTTCTGATTTAAATACACTAATAGCATCCTTGCATTTAATTCCATATTGAGGTATCTGACTTTATTTTATACTACAGAATGCAAAGGCTGGTTAATTAGAAGCCTGGTGATTTATTAACTCACACATGCTTTGTCTGCATGGAGAGTAGTGTTATTTAATGATTAGGCCATGCTTACACAAAAGCCAGGGGGTGGGGTGTTAACGTGTGTCTGGGGTTGGATTAGTACTGGTTAACTAGACTGGTTTGTGCCAAAACACCAGGCTTCCTCAGCTACCCCCTTTTGTTTGAGACTTTTGGCATTTTTAGTTTTTTGATTGCAGTCCCAGATGTTTGTGGAGACCTGAAAAATAGTTCTCACAGTGTCAAAATAACTGGTTTTTATTACATTGTGGGGGACAATTCGGGATTCTGGAGAACTGGAGAATTCTTAAATCTCACTCTAATCTCTATGGATACAACACCCCCCCGCCCCCCACCACCTAATATTGTTTGCATTAGTGGAGTGCAGAGGTCAAAGAGTGGCACGTATTTTAGCAAAGGGAGCATGGTTCATTAAGCCTTTGGTGCAGGGTTCATTAAAAGTAAGGATTACACATTACAGGCGACTTTGTTGAGTAGCCCTTCCTTTTGCCACCCCCCACCTCTTCCATATGCATGCCAACATCTCCCTGAACCCAATCCCTTTATGAGAAGACAAAAGGACCCATCTGTTTGGCCTCTTAACTTTCCCTTGCTCTCCAGTCTGCAGTGAGGGGTTCTGCAGGTGTAAGACGCTGCTGCATTGCGGGGGGGGGGGGGGGGCTTTAGGAAAATAGCTCCAGCACACCAGAAGCACAAATATATCCATTTTACATGGTTTCTAGTGGAAGTAATGGCACATATTTAAAAAAAACGATTAAGGCTGAAAAACAGGTAGAACTACTCATCGTTCCAGATGGATGTCATTGGAAACAGAACAGTCATATGAACGACACTTTGGACAAAACAAAATACACCATGCAGTGATTGTTTTGTTGATTTTAAAGTGTGATGCCTAGATTGCATTAGCATATTGATCCTCATGATGCGTTGTGCAATCTGCATGGCCTGCCTGAAGGATTTAGCCTGTGCCATCCCTGATATGTTAATTAAAATTGATTTCAGGCAATGGTCTTAAAGCAGGTTAGGTAAGGTTTAGTAATTATGTGTGTTATGATTGGTGGAGGTGAATGGGGTTCAGCGATGAGATGAATGAGAGAGAATAATCAAGTATGAATACTAGAAACAGATAACACCTCATTGGGATTGTTATTAAACTATTATTTCACAATTTTATCATTTGTTTTAGGCTTTGTTAGTTTCTTTAGTTATTGTTCAGGCTTGTTTCTTTAATATGTTCAGCATAGCCATACCTGCTTGTCCTATGCAGAATCGTTGGGGTCCGGAGCCTATCCAGGAAGCTACAGGTGCAAGGCTATAACCTAGGATAGGGTGCCAACTCATTACATGGCTGTGTTTAAACCTGTGCAACACAAAACACCCATCCATATTGCAATCAACTGTCCAAGAGAAGGTCACAGTAAAGTCTGGAGCCCATACCAGTCAGCATAAGGCACAAGGCTGGGGTACACCCTAGATGGGATGCCAGGCCATCACATGTGTCCTGAGGCCACATGGTCTGGGAGGAGCTGGAGGTAATCCTTGCAATGGTCGGAGAACATGCAAATGTCATACATGCAGAGTGGAGGTGGGATTCAAACCCACAACTACTGAGCTACCATGTTGCCTTGACATCAAATAAAACTGTTATACATAATAGAATTAACATTCAAGCTCTTGTCCAATTAATAGAATTGATATACAAACTTTAAAGGCTTAAAGGTAAAAAAACACAATGATCATTTACAATGCCATTTCATCTAACTAGCAGATTTAATGGAATGAACAGTATATCTCCAAGATATTAATTTTATATTATTCCAGTTCCTACATACTGTAGTAATATTTATACATAGTAACTCATTCAGCGTTAACTTTCACTCAATTATAGACATGGATATTTAGTTATACAACTGACAAATATTTTTTTCAAGGACACCACAAAAGGAAAATGACAACACTCTATTTCATAGCACTCCAAGCTTGATCTGTTTTGCAAAAGAATAAGCTATTTCAGCATCTCAATAGATTTTAATTACCTTAATAGAATAGAGATGCTTCACTCATTACCATGGGAAAATTGTTTTCACCTAACTTATCTTGCTCCCATGAGACATACAGACACATATATGGGTGGCAGCAAGTCTGGGGGTCCTAGCATAGGGTTAGCCAGCATTCAGCCCAACCCCTGGGGCAATTGGGGTTAAGGACCATATTCAAGGGCCTATTGGTGGCAGCAGTCTGCCTCCCATGGCATTTGAACTGCCTACCTACTAATTATGTGCTTCCTAACCCCCAGCACCACACACCGCCCCCAAAACACAGATCCAAATGTAATAAATAGCTGTTACTTAATGATGAATTAAATATAACAGATTTGGGATTAAACCTTGCAATCTGGTCTCCCCAGCTGACAGCCCCCTTATCCTAATAAGTTATCTGTGTCAGATGAGTTCTGGTGCCCAAACCTGTCTTATCTCAGATCAACCTTCTCGCTTCTGCTACACAATCCCTACATTATTGGGGGACATTATCTACCCTTAAGCATAGGAGAGTTCCTCGAGTCATCCAGGGGTTATAAACATTCTAGCAAGTTACTTTTTTCAGTTTTGTTCTCCTTTAAGTAATATCACTTATAATTTGCATGATCTAGATGTTGTTAATTAGCACTAGTGTTTGATATGAGTTTTGGGAAGAACGCATTGTGCTATTTTTATTTTGACTTTTTGTAGAACATTAGCTCAAAGCCTTGTACATAAGACAATATATAATATAATGTGACTCAAGAATGACAGATTAAAAGGTTTATATCAGGTGCCACACACAGTACCCTAAAATTCCACTGACTGCAATAGCTGCAGGCTTAATTGTTAGGATTGTTGGAGTTCTTTAAGGTCATTGGGGCTTTTTACATTAAACACAGTCCATTAAGTCACTTGGAATATAGGAATTAAATCCTCCATTGGAGCTCATCACAAAACGAATGAGTACACAGCTCATGTATTAAGCTACTAACCCAGGCAATCCATTTTAATTTCATCATTTTTTGCCTCAATATGCCCAACCTATACTGTCAAATTCCTGACACTAATCTAAACTCTGCAAAGCAAATCTCTCCTCCTACACATCCTTCCCAAGTCGACAGCTGGTTCTGACCTGCACTTCCCTTTCTGCTTCCTTCCTCCAAGACATAATGGTGTCTTTTACCAACTGAGTTCCCCTAGATCACGTTTCCATTTTCTTTTTTGTCCAGTTACAGTGGATGCTTGCCTGGCACTGCATTCATGTAGCCATTTTGTCCATTCAGACCATTGTTATTCTTTTTTCACTCTGCCTATGTGTATCATTATCTCATTTCTTTACTTCCCCTTCTCCTTCTTTCCATCTTGTATTATTGCTTTTCTACCTAAATTTCCCCTCCCTTTTGTATACTTCAGTTTTTCATTGAAATGTTAGTCTGGAAGCGGTGGTTCCTTTTTCCTTTTGCTCTGAGCTGCTGACAGTACTGCTGATGAACTCACTGATCCATCCGCATATCCACCCACACTGCCACCTCCCCTGGCCCCAAACAGCATAAATGAACCTCTTAGCCCTGCTGCTGTGCTTAATGATAGTCAGGAGTCCAGCTAGAACAACAATGTCCAGCTGTTAGCAGCTGTTCCTCCCACCTCTCACAGCCCCTCTCTATTATGTATCACTATCTCTGGGGGTCTAAAGTGTTAAACCAAAAAATTGTGCAATCGTTCCTTTGTAAAATAGTAACACGTATATCTTCTGTATTGGATTATTATTTATTGTGCACTATATCTTATTTTTGTGCTGTCTCAAATACAGTTAAGGCATTCATTCAGTCAGGATTTCTTGTTGAATAAAATGATTTGGTGGTCAGTAAAATCAGGCAATCAGAAACCGCACAGTGGCATTGCTAGTTAAACCCTGAAAGTATCCTACTGAGTGTGATTTGCAGAAAATGCGTGATACAAATAAGTCTACCTCCTACCTGTATTAAAAATGTTATTGAAATTCTGGCAACAATGTATCTGCAGCCTTGTCACAGCAGACGATGAGTCCAGGGTGGATTTCATGCACATTTCTGCAATTACTGTTCAGTTAGAGGCATAGAATAAGAAAAAAAGTTGAGTACTCTATGAAAATGAAGGAGTCCGCTGTGAAAATGAAGTCTGCCCTTTGAAGTGGTACAGATTCCCCTAGGAGTATTCAATACATAAAACAAAATGAAGAGAGCACTTCTTGTTCAATTTATTATTTATGAAAATAAATGTTAAGCTAAAGGCTGTAGCAGCAACTATGCTGCGTATGTTTTGAAGGGCAGTGGATCTCAGACTTCATATTCCCATCAAAAAAATTGACCTCACTGAACTACATACTGCGGTCTGACAAAGAAACAAGTCAGAGGATAAGAGTTGCATTTTCTGGGTTTTTCATTTTGGTTAGATTTGAATAATAACAAAGAAAAAAGTTAATAAAATAGCTTCTCCATTCCTGCACTGATGTGTTTTAAGGAGGAAGGGAGTTTTTTCATTGTCAGCTGTTTTCTGTTGTCATGTCCTCAATGTCCATTTGATATATTTTACTAGAGGGAGAGAGAGAGCAGGATTCCACTTACTTCCCCAAGAGAAGCAGCGCTGTGGAGAACAGGGGCTCCTCAACAGACCTGCACCCAGGTATGGCCTCCTTTCTGTTATACACATCAAAAAATGCTCTTTTTTCAAAGGTGGTATTGACAGTATGGATTGTGGGTTGGTGCAGTAGCTGTTCTCCTTCACGTACACATACACAGTTGAATTTCAGGGGCACAGTGATTTTAAATTACTTTGACCAAGTGTTGATGATTTAGCCCCTCTTGGATTTTGGGACATTCATGCTAGAAGTTAAGCTTAATGTTGTGCCATACCATTGCCATACCTGAGAAAATGCCAAATTTCATGGTGGCATGCCTTCAGGCTTATGGAGATTCCCAAAATAATATTTGGAATTCTCTTTTGTTTTAACTTTTTATTTGTGAAGAGCAAAAATTTTTGTACTAAGGTATGCAGATTCATCACGGATACCAATCAAGTGACATGAAACAAGTAGATAGTTGCATAATTAAACATCTGGGTGGAACAAGCCTCTGTGGGTGATTTTTCAACACTGTTTGGCAGAACCTGAAAACAAACTTTCCTTTTGTTAAGCAAAACAAGTGTACAGAAGATAATTATCTTATTTTTTATGGTTCTGAAGAGTTATAAGATGAAGATGTACACACTCTTTTCATAGTTGGGAGCAGGTAAAATCATTTTCTGCATGTTTTGTGATTTCGTGGTATTTCAATGCAAACTAAGCCTAGGACTTAGTGTATTTAGCCATTTGATGTTATACTAAGGGAATCTATTAAGATTCACCTAATATGGCATTTTTAAATGACTCCACTTTTAATTGTCCTAGTAAGGGCAAAGGGACCCTTTCAAATATTGAGCCCAGATTAATATTCAAAATATTTTGAAAGAGGACTGAGTAAAAATTTAGCTTAAGATAAAAGTTTTTATCTTATGCCTGAACTCACAATTTTAAATTATAACATAAGGAAAGACAAATATGGATCGTTCAGCAGTAAACAGATAAACCCCTGAGACAAGTGGAAGAGAAGGATGCTGTTCTACGTACATAGACATTTGTGTCATTTTTCTACTGCTATTCTGATTATTATGTTTCACATAATAGTTTTGTTTGAATGTGGGTTCATTTTTACTATCAAGCTACTTGGGTGTGTTTCTATGTGTTTATGGGCCTCTCACCACATATACAGTATGTTTGTATGTTCATGTTAAATCCTAGGGGTATGCTACCAGCAAAAACATCTTCTAACAGAAAAAATAAACAAAATAAAAATCTAATTAATTCTCTGCTCTGAAGTGATGATATTTTTCAAGTAATTAAGGATCCGATTTTTCTTTCGCTCTTTAGGTCACAGAGGTCAGAGAAGGCTCAGCTTTTCTCATTAAGAATAAAAAAGTGCTGAGTCATCCCACTTGTAGGCTTCTTTACACACATTTCACCTACCACTTACACCATCAGAAGCTTGCAGCACGAGTCTTTAGATTTCAGAGGTGAGCGCTTTGCTATCATGCAGGCAAACTTCAGTCAGTATGTTCAAAGTGTCCATTCTGTAGAACAAATATTTGAGCATAGCAGCATACACATAAAAAAAAAGAAATCAAAGCCCATTATAAGCTGCATCTAATCAGTTGAAGGTCATTGCCAAAAGAATTGCCACATTTAATTTATTTAATGTACTGAGAAACAGCCTTAGTTTCAATTGAGAAAATCATATATTGATTCCAGTCCAGTAATCTTAAACCACCTAATCTTCTTTGTTTCTGACCTGTTAGAGATACTATAGAGCTGTGACTTGGATGTTCTTAATATCCATGCACTCTGTGACAGATTGTTTTACGTTCCAGGTCTGTGACTGATTAATCGTTCAGGCATGTTGCACGTTTGCTGGTCCTTCTTTCTCTCTTTCATTCACTTGTCAGGTAAGATAAAATAAATCAACCAATCAATACTGTGGTGAATGAAAAGTTAGCATCGGCAACAACACAAAGCAACTTAATATTTCATTGACCTAGCACATGTTGGTTGATTAATTTATATTGTACGTGTTGGTAGATTAAGTTTCTTAATCATGATTAATCACATATTCAGTCACGTTGCAATTTGTTGAAAATACATTTAGTTTTTATATACAGCATTATATTCAACAAATGTGCACTTATGGATCAAACACCTGGCCAGAATAATTGTTAATGAGACACCATAATCTGCACATAGTTTTCAGACCAAAATTTATGTGCAATTTACATTTTTAAAAATGAAAAATGGAATAAGTGGCAGAATTGACAATAATGTTTCTATGTTTATGTTTTTTTTTAATCTACTCATGAATACCTTTAAGTTTTATGTGCTCTCTGTTCCCAATGGTGGAGTCAAATTCAGCATGAGCAATAAAAAGCAAAGGACTTCATTTTGTCATTAAAGGATCTTCATTGTTTTCTTGTTGTTTATAACTTTATAAACTGATGTAAATCAACAGCATATAATAAGTGTTCTCATGCATGCGCTGTGTAAATTGGGCTTCTAGTCTGAAATAAACTATGTGGTACAAAAAACTTGATAAATGCATTGTCCTGACCCCAATCAGGGCTCTGCTGTAGGCTGTACGTTAGCACAATTGAAAAATAATAACGTGTTATTCTTTTTAAAATTAATTGCACATGTTAACATGTTAACACTGACAGCCTGCTGCTGTGCGGATGTAATTTGCCTATTAAGATAATGTACCATTTCAGTGCTGTATACACTGATTGTTTACCTGCTGCCCTACACTGACACCATGCTCCCACAGCGGTGTGCTCTCAGCAAGCCTTCAGGACTCAGCCCAAGAATATAACCCTGAAAGTGGGGGCCGCAGTGGTGCTGAAGTGTGCCGTGTTGAGGCCCTCAGGTGTAGTGCAGTGGGTCAAGGACGGACTTCTTTTGGGGCCCCAGCGCAGTCTTCCTGGCTTCCCCAGATACAGCATGATTGGCAACAAGGAGAAAGGTGAGAAACTGGAGGAAAGGAAAGCTGGCAAATGAATGACACCGAGTTCCTGACACATTGCTGAACCCCTTAAAATCTCTGCTCATTATGTAGCATTTAATCTTGTGATTTTTATTTTATGCATATTCACCAGCCACATTATTAGGAATTATTTTCTAATACTGGGTAGGACCCCATTCAGAACAACCTGAATTCTTTGTGACATGCACTCAACACAGTTCTTAGAGCAGTGGTTGCCAACACTTCACCTGTGAGCTACTAGTACCTCACATGGAGCCAATGAGTAGCTCCCCATAACATTTCAGAAATAGGCTAAATTATGTTAAATTCATATTTTTCTCAATTTAGCTTATACATGTGGACACTGGTACATTACAAGGAATTCCACCTTGAATCTGGTTGATTTAGTTTCATCGTTTGCCACCTCCCTGGTTGATATAACCATGTAGCTAAGAAGGAATAGAAGTGGCTCTCACTGTAAATAAGGTTCAAGACCCCCACCTTTGAGATTCTGGTCCATTTGACATTGTGTCACATTATTCCTGCAGATTTATTCGCTGCACATTGATGCTGTAAAATCTCATGTTCCACCACATCCCAAAGATGCTTTATTCCATTCAGATCTGTTGACTTGGGAGACCACTGAAGTGCACTAAATTCATTGTCATGTTCATGGAAGCAGTTAGAGATGACTTTCTGATATGGCACATTATCCTTCTGGAAGCAGTTATTAGAAGAGGAGTAAATTGTGGCCATAAAGGGATGCACATGGTCAGCAACAATACTCAGATAACCTATGGCATTTAAGCAATGCTTGGTTGATATTAGAATGCCCAATATGTGCCAAGAAAACATTGCCTACATCATTACACCACCATTACCAGCCTGAAACAAGGAAAGCTGGGTCTATGGATTCATGTTTGTTTATGCCAGAGTACAACTCTTATATTTGCATGTTATAGCAGAAATCGAGATTAATTGGACAAGTTGATATTTTTTCCAGTCTTCAAGTTCCAGTGAGCGTGTACTTAACTGACAGGATGTAGTCTTCTACTATTGTAGCCCATTCACCTCATGGTCTGACATGATGTGTTTTCAGAGATTTTCTGCTCACAACTGTGGTAGAGGGTGGTTATTTCAGACAGTGTACCCTTCCTGTCAGCTTGAACTTGTGTGGCCATTCTCCTCTAACCTCTCTTCTCACAAACAAGGCATTTCCGCTAACAGAACTGCTGTTCTCTGGATGTTGTTTGTTTATTGCACCATTCTGTGTAATCCCTAGAGCACGAAAATCCCCGGAGATCAGCAGGTTCTGAAATACTCAGACCACCCTGTCTGGCACCAACAACCATGCCACAGTCAAATCACTTAGATCACATTTTCCCCCATTCTGATTTGTAATTTGGCCATTAACTGAAGCACTTAACTGATGTCTGCATGACTTTATGTGTTACACAGCTGCCACATGATCAGCTGATTAGATATTGGCATGAACATCCAGGTATACAGGTGTTCAAAATAAAGTGGCCCCCACTATATTCCTGTATTCCAGATTTTGTGAGTAAGATACTAATGACATTTGATATGTAAAACTGAGAATAGTGCTGATAGTAGTGATGAGCTAATTATGTCATGAATTAAAGAATTGTAGAAAGGCATCTGTTCTGCTAATTGGTCATGTAAATTTCTGTGACAGAAGTTGGCTATGCTCCTGATTCTCAGACTGTTCTTTCATGATACCTCCTAGTGTACAGGTTCTGGGGAGCACAGGAATTAAAGGATATATAGTTAGGCAGGGTAAAAAAAAGCTTGGATTGCATGATTACTGTACTTATTGCTTGTATCCAGGGAAGTTAATCTAGATATTACCATAATCCAGATTTACAGTACCATATATTCACTTCTATAGTAGAAGCAAGGGTTGAATGAACATTGAATAAATGAACATTACATTTATACAGTGCTTTAAAGACATCCAAAACACTTTACAGAACCAATGGGGAGCCACTTCAACCACCACCACTGTGTAGCACCCACCTGGATGATGCCACAGCAGCCATTCTGCACCAGTATGCTCACCACACAGTAGCTAAGATGGGGAAGGAGCAGGACAGAATTCACCAGTTAGACATAGGGGATGATTAGGTGGCCAGAATTGAAAAGGCCACAGTGGGCAAAGTAGTTAAGGCATTGGAGTACCAACCCCACTCTTTCAAAAGATGCTCAGGGATCTTTTATGACCTCAGAGAGGCAGAACCTCGGTTTAATGTCTCATCAGAAGGATGACACCATTTTAACAGCATAGCGTCCCCATTACTGCACTGGGACATTGAAAACCATATAGACCACAGAATGGGCTAACCTTTTGGCCACAACAACACCTCTTTCTGTCTTCCTCCCCATCTACTTTAGGAGAGTACCATCTTCAGATTGAAAAGGTTGCCTTGGAAGACGATTCCCCCTATGAATGCCAAGTAGGCCCGTCTGAAAGCAGCGGACCAATCATCTCTCATATTGTGTGCATCACTGTACTGAGTAAGCAAAACCAACTCTCCTGCATCTAATAAGTTAAAGGTGTGATCCATAATGTTGAGGTTAAAGTTTTAAATGTATATGAAGGCATTTCTTAAAACAATTCAATAATACAAATGTGGGGCAATATAATTTGAGTTTGACCAGCAAAATATTTCATTTTTGTAGGGTTGTGACATGAAATTAATATATTAAAATAGTGAACAAATGGCTACAGACTGAAGCCACTACCATGCTGTTGACTCGGAGATCTTCTGGTAAATGGCAAATGGCAAACGGCAGGTGTTTGACTCCTTTTTCCCAGTCAGTGATAGAGTCCTGTCCAGAGACCCTTCATAACCCCTGGCTGCACCATATGCCCTGTGGTCAGAATCACATAGACATAACCCTGTAGATTATATTGCTGGAAAAATGATTTGCTAGTACATGTTTTGTTGTCAGACTGAATATAACATTGCCTTGGCCACTCCCTGCTGATCTGACCTAATAAGGAAAAAAATAATCAAAAGAGCAAGGGAGTAAATGGGAAGTCTTGCATAAAATTTTTGTAGCCGTGTGACTGGTTGTCACCTTTTGTTAAACATCATACTCCGATATTCTCTGCTTCTTTCCGCCTCATTCCTCACTTTCTTGTGGGAGAGAGTCCATATGCAGGAAGCCCTTTAAAAATGCCCTTTTAAAGATGCTGCACTTCGTTAACTTCTCTTTCTCTCGCCTGCATTTCCGTAGTCTGTGTACATATGAGGGGGGGTCAGTTGCCATAGCAACACGGATGGGTCTTTGTCTGCTTTCCCAAGGAGAACACAACGGTCTTTCCTGACATCACGAGAGACAGAGGAATAAAACCGAGGGAGAGTAACAGAAGCTCTTTCTCATCCTCCTCCTCGGCCCCTCCTCTCCTTGCTCTCCGCCTGGCTGCGTGCTAACCTATTATCCAGCCACTCGAACAGCAGGACTCAGTCCCACATCTATCACTGACAGGGCCGAGGGAGAGTCACTGTTCCACACAGTCAGGGACATTATGATAGATAAAGAGAGCCTGCGTATATAGCACTGTAGCACCTGTAGCTAGATCATGCTTATAAGTAGACATAAGGGCCAGAAAGACTGGCCCAACTGATTTCACGGTGCAAAGGAAGGGATTTCGGATGTGCAGAGTTACACGCATTGTTTGCATTTCCTGGCGTTGCAGTGAATATAAGGGGATTTCTCAGCAGTAAATATCTCGGAGGGTCATGGTTTTTGCCTAGTTGAACCACTATAAATTTTATTAACCATTATGGCTTTCCAAATAAGCCAGGGGTTTCAAACTCCTGTCCTGGGGTGGGGGGCAGCGTCCTGTGTGGCTTAGTTCTTGAATGATTCAGCTCAAGAGCTGTGTGGTAATTAGCAAGTTGAATCAGGTGTGTTAAACGAGGGTAAGCCAAAAACTGTGCAGGGTTCCTGCCCTCCAAGACTGGAGTTTGACACCCCTGCTATAAGCAGATAGGTTAAGTATTTGGAATGTAAATATTTACAGTTTATTTATTGCATTTATCCCTGTACTTTTTTTTTTTTGAGAAGACAGAGTTAGTTCCTGGAGCAATTGGGGTTAAGGGTCTTGCTCAGTATCCCAATGCTAACATTACACTGCAGACCATGGGATTTCAGAAGGCGCCCTTCTGCTCACAGACACAGCATCCTAGCCTGCCAAACTTCAAAAATCTTTGTCTTTCAAACTCTTAATACTGGGCCACAGAGAGTCTGGAGACTATCCCAGGAAGCATAGTGCACAAAGCAGGGAGACACCCTGAACAGGATGCCAGTCTGTTGTACATACTGTACATTGTCACACACTATGGACGGTTTACAGACACCTACTGACTGTATGCCTTGAGACAACAGAAGAAGAAAACTTACCCTTGGATGAAAATGCAAATTCCAGACAAACACATAGGATTCCCAAACTTGGAGGTTTGACCGTCACTTATTAGCTACATTCATCCTTCTGTACCTCTAATAATTGTTCTTCCTTAAAGCAGGAGCAGAATCAAGCAAAGGTTGGGCAAATATGGTTACTACTTGTCTCCTCTCTGAGGAGTCCACAGCCATTGGTTTTGAAGGCCTTCAGTGTGCCCAGATGGTTTTCAATGCTTTCCATTGTCATACCACTTACAGTGCCAAAAAATTACATTAAATTCACCTCTATTTTTTTCTGTATAAATGTAATGAAAAAATAATTCCTCCACATAGTCTGAAGAAAAAAAGTCAACATAAGCTCCAAACTGGATTCTTCCATCAATATGAGATGCATTATGCCCTGCTAATTCAAGATACATCACCTGAGGCATAAAGTAGCCACGAGGGAGGAAAAATGTCAATAACCTTACTCTGTAAGCCAACAAAGAGAAATGCGGAGAGATTCCTATAAGAGAGGCATTACTCCTACATTTTCTGTAATCCTGCAGAGCTTTAAACGAGGATTATTGCTCTAGCCAGATCAAGCGCGCCCTCACAGTCCATCAAAGCAATCATTTGATGGATACTCTCTTTTGGCTAGTTTCAACAAAAATTTGTACTAAGATCTGTTCAGAATTATTCTGGAATCATCAAAGTCATAGATTATTCTAGTTTTTTTCATGAATTAAACAATTTTCAACACTATGAGTTACATCCATAATGACAAGAGATTATATAAAGACAAAATGATCAGAATATATTTAATTCCAAATTTAAATTCATGAGAAATTTCTGAGTGTAGGCTTGTCTGAAATAAGGACCCATCTAATTAAACAACATTTTCACTTTTTTCAGCGTCACACCGCAATATGTAATCATTTAGCTTAAATAACATATATAATTAGAAATAATAAGTATTTTTGGGGACCTCATAAATATTTGATTAATATAAAAGCTATAGGAAGTTGTAGGAGTTACATCACATAAGGAAACTCTCTGAGAATCCTAACTGGAGAATCCTAGTGTGAAAGCAATAAAACCAAGCTGCAGCCCATTGGAAGGGAAACTCCTTATTGGCACGATAATCAAAATGAGATACCCTATAGCCACTGAGCTGTCGCTTCAGTCACGACTCTCTTTACTAAAGCAGAAACTGTCATCTAAGGTCGACAAAGAGTAGTTAAGCTATTGAGAGTTGATGATGTCCAAATGGGAGATGGGAGATGAGTACAGCTGTATTTCATTGGCAAACACCTGCCCCCTCCCCTGTTCTGCACTGGGGAAATACAGGAATCAGAGAAAGGTGCCTTATTCACTGGCTCTCTGCTTCCCACCTGAGCCCTCAGATGCTGACGCCAGAGTATAAGCGTGTGTGTCTTTGTTCATCCATATGCCAGTGTATTCTTGTCTGAGTGTTTCTTGGTTTTTTGCACTTTGTGTATCTGCATTTGTTTTTTTCCCCTCATACTCTCTGAAATGTGCTTAATTGTGGCCTTCTATGCATTAATATTATATATTCTTTTCAACAAATGTGTCCATTTGACGAGTGATGTGGCTGCATATATGTGGTGTATGTGTTGTTGCTGAAGTGTGTTGATTAAACAGCAGCTGCTCTGGCTATTTGCTTTTTAACTTCCATCTGTATTTACACATCACATCAGTTGTTTTTCATCGCTTATGGGCTGTTTGTGTTTACAAATATCCTCTCTCTCTCTCCTCAGCCCTACCCACCCACTCCTCTGTGTTTGTCTGATGAACCCACTGCTGCATTTCACTGTCTGTCTGTCACCTGAATGGCTGCTGTAGGGTTTGGGTGTCTAAGTCCATGAGGTGAGGGGCTCAGGTGGGATTATACGCCTCTCCCACGGCTCACCAGAACACCTCTTATTTGTGGGCCTCTGCTTGCCAACCTGAGTAGCTGTACAGCCCGCACTGTTATTCTGCAGAGCTCAACTACAATGAGTGTGTGTGTGTGGGGGGGGGGGGGTGAGAAGAGAGAGGAGGCAGGATGGAAGGAGCCTGAGACAGACTGAGAAATGGAGAGGTTGGTACAAACGCAGGGTAACATTTTTAAGAAAATGGTTGGGGAGATAGGGGGTGGGGAGATGAATGAAAGGGGGCAAAGAGAGTAGGGTTATTTAAGTTAGTGGTACACCAAGACAAAAAGGAAAAAAAATTGAAAAGAAGCAGGATGCTTTTGAAAGGGGAGAAGTGCAACTGTATCATTATTTCTTATTTTGGTGAATTTTTGTGGTTTTGGCAGACTTCCTCTGTGCCAAGTGATGCAGTCCATAATATATAATATTGTCTGGAGACATGCAGCTGATGACTCCATTGAAAATGCACTGGCTGTCAATAACTGCATGACAAAGTTAATGGTTTAAGAAGAAATGCTTCCTATTATATCTGCCTTGGGTTCTGCAGTGACAATCCAGAGAGATCCAATTGCTTCCTCTAAATCAGTTTTAAGCCTGAGCTGCATCATTTTCATCTCTGTGAAGAAATAACTAACACTGCTGGCTGAGTATGACAACATCTCCCCCTAGTGGTACTCGTAGAGTATCGGGCTTAGTGAAAGCAATGTTTAAGACTTTATAGCACTGTTTCCAAGAACATTTGTGGAAACCCACCAAACAAAAGGAATTCACAAATGGTAATGAACCGAAAAACTCTGAAAGGTATAGAATAAACAAAGAAATTCCCAGGTTAGTCTTTTAGATACACTGAGTCTTTCAACAAAAGATCATCAGCCCACATCCTGTAAAGCCTAGCCAAGTCAGAGTTGAGTGTATGGTTCACTAGTGTCTGCTGAAGTCTGTAAATCTGAAAGCATTTTCCGGATTGGCAAAAGCAAATACATGCTTCAAGTTAAGTCAGCCCATCACCAAAGAAGTCCTTGAGTACTCCAGTCAAAGAAAAACTGCCAAGCCAAGTAGATGCAGGACAGTACTGTGTAGCCCCGACGTGCAGCACTCACAGAAGAATGGCTTTAATGACCGAACACAGACTGAGACTGAGGGAGCAAGATCACATACCTCTCTAACACACATGTGATTGTCTGTAGGTGTTTTTTTTGAGCGGGGGGGTGCAGACCTGGAAGTTTTCAGAAGGCTGTTGCCATCCCAAGTCAAGTCTACTCAAGTCCAAGTTAACTACAGTAGATGTAACGACACAGAGACAAATCTAATGAGTAAAATATGACTTTACTGC